TGCGTGCTCCGCATAAACGACGGAGGACGCGCGCGCTGTATGCAAAGAACTCAACTAAATATATAATATGTATGTACTATACCTATAATTTCCGTTTTTATCAAAACAAAATATTAATCTACACGGCATAGACTCGGTCATCGACTATAAATCGTAGAAAAGGGCCAGCACAAGATTTTTCTTCACAACGTTCGCCAACAAGTGGAAATTTAATAAAAATAACTAACAGAATTGACTTTGGCAGCGCTCCCGTTCTGAGATTTAGTTCCAGAAAATTCTTTTCAATTATAGATACAAGTATTAAGTACGTTCAATTAAATGAAAATATTGAATGCAAATAAAAAGTTTTCGGAAAGAAATACACGATTCATTTTTTAGGTGGTTGAATGAAATGCTGGCAGCGAAAGAATAAATTTGAAATTATCGAGGGACAAACTTGAAGTCAACCAATCTGCTCTGCAACTTGAAAGGCAACCAACGTAAAGAACAAATTGCCATTAGTTGATGTCCATCTGGGGTGTGCGTCTAAATTAACGAACAACAGTCGAGATCTATTCTCTAGAGATAAAGTTCCTGAGGAATACTTGGACAGTATAGCCGTAGGCGAACGTTCGAAAACCAACCACGGAAATTTCTGACGGTCTGTAACTGACGACGAGATGTAACTGCCGAAATAATCGCTCGAGTGATTTGTACGGGCATGGGCATGGGCATGGGCATGGGCATGGGCAGCGCGTAGGTGTCTACGTTTCGCGAAGCATTGCGCATTACCGGATTGTTTGCCATGCATTTCCAACGGTCCGTCTTGTCTGTCGGAAGTTCCGCCGGTCGACGTGACCCCAACGCAGTTCGATGCATAATGTGCGACAGCACAAATTCCGCTATGAGCATTTGCATACGTAAACGTATGCCGCCGCGGGCGCGGGCGCGTCCGCAGCGATCATCGCTAAAGCGCGCTACAGCGATCCCGAATCGGTTGACAGCTAGAGCGATCGACGCTCTTGGATTTTTATCCTTGGATTTTTAACATCGCATCGTGCAGATCGATCATGTAGATTTCGTAATGCGATGTTAAAAGTATCTCTTTGAGTCACGATGACATCTCTCGGACCGAATCGACGCAACGGTGATATTACATTTTTCCCAAATGGATAACGGATTTAGTAGAAGGGAAGTGCAACCACAAGTTCACAAAAAGTAGATTCATATTCCGTTCGTAGGAAGGGAAACCGAGTTTGGCGGAGAAAATAAAATCTGTCCCGACCATAGAGACACGTCCCGTTGTATTCGGAGCAGCATCCCCTTCTCGTCGTCGTAACTTCCTCCTTCCTGAACTCGCAACCCGTCCGCATGCTCTTCCGCTACTCTTCCTGTTTCCGCATAACTTGACTGACTCATCGCGCGCGTGTTAAGTTATCCTATACACCAATCGGTGAGCCTTAACGTGCAACGCATCTTGAGAACAAATCTTTCAAACAGAAATTTCTAAATTTAGTGCATTCAACACGTGTGCGTGCGTTCAAATCATCCCATTAACCGTCAAGGAATCGCACGTCGAATTTCGGTTCTTCAGACGCCGGGAACGACACACAACATAGGTATCGATATAAGCGAAAGGGATAACGCGAAAGGGGTTGGCGCAACGGAATGTACATCGTGGCACAACGGTGTCGCGGCCTGGGGAACGCTGTTGTCCCGGCGCATCCCACGTTACGGCTGCAATCGAGCTGGCAGGTACTGCGAGCGAGTGTCAAGGGAACACGCCGCGCGACCGTCGTGCAATCAGGCACGCCACCAGCCCGCTGTGATGCAACGGAAGTGGAAGAGGGTACCTATACCTATACCTATACCTATACCTTCACTCGCGCGTTGCCGTGGGACTTGACGCGCGGCGAATATAAGCGAACGAGCTTCGAGCTCACGAAGAAAGACGCCTTAGCACACCGCGACTATACAAAATATTTTTTAATCAAAATAAGTACTCTCATTTCAAACAAAATATGCGCATAAAATTACACTACAGTTACATTACAGGTTTACATATAAAATGATGAACTGTAAAAAATATACGTCTGTGTGATACACACACACACACACACACACACACACACACAAGGTATCCCAAGTTTACAGTGCTATATCTCGCTATCTAATAATTTTATTAAAAAATGTTTTTTCAGACAAAAGTTGTATGGTTTTGGAGGGGGCACATAATCCAGATGTGAGTCATGTCGTAGATGTCATCGTTTTCAAGAAATTTTAAAGGTGACTAATTTCTTAAATGGAACTTGATTTTTCCTTTTAGATAAAAATTGTCTCGTCGAGATGTTTTCAAAACATTATAATAAAGCTCTCTTTTGCTTACTGAAGAATTTCCTAAGATATTTTAAATATTGTCATAATATTTTCAATGTAAAATATGAAGAAAATATCTCGTAAAGTATTATATTATAATAACTTTTTTTCAACAATCGATTCATTTCATTATTCTATATATAAAAGTATGAAAGTAAAGTTATAAAAACATGAATACTTTATGAGATATTTCATATTTTATATTAAAAATATTATGACAAAATTTAAAATATCTCAGGAAATTCTTAACAAAAGAGAGCTTTATTATAGTATTTTGAAAACATCTCGACGAGATCTACAACTTTTATCAAGAAAAAAATCAAGTTCCATTTAAGAAATTAGTCGCCTTTAAAATTTCTGGAAAACGATGACATCTACGACATGACTCATCTAGATCATGTGTCCCCCTCCAAACCATGCAACTTTTGTCTGAAATATTTTTCAATAAAATCATCGGGGTTCGCGAGATATAACATTGTAAACTTTAAAACGGGACACTTGAATATATTATATAAAAAATTTTAAAAACATTCAATATCTCAAAATTCTAAATAGTAGAAAAATATATGTTCAAAATTATTCCTGTAACGTTTAATATATATATATAATCCATATTAAAATATATATTACACATATGTCCGACCTTCGTTTTTGCCAAGTATTCTACGTTAAATTCCTACCTACGATAAATTGTGGTACAGGTGAAGTAAACGTCTTGCTGCAACGGACTTACGCTCGTTTTGGATCCTAAAACACTGCATTCAAGCGCAACGTAAATTCTGCGAGAACGCAGAAGCACGAGAAATCCCCGACGAATGTACATAGATTATTAAAGTAAAGCTAGATTTAAAGCGCATTTAGCCGTTTCGGAGAACGTCAACCCACCGTCTAATTTCCTATATTTTCCTTCGTATTACTATTAGGGCTTCTGCAAATACTCATGGTCATTATTACGCAATGTCAAATATAGTTTCCAAATGTACGTGGATAGAACTAACACTGAGTTTGTCGTCATGAAGTGGAAAAGAATCCACATTAAATTCTATTTGCGTTAACTTCCTCTTACGAGTAACGAAACAGTTTGCAAGTTTTGCCAAGCCACTCTAGCAATGCACGATTTACACGTGCACCACCATTGCACTTTCCCCTAGGTAACAGAAGTACGTAACGCGCTACAAATTGGCTACTACCCTCTGCCTTGCTCAAGCACTACCGGGACTTGTGCCATAAGTCACCCTACTCGTTTCTCGCTCCACCCTCACCTTGGGACGAATCGCATCTCGAATTCAATTTCACGAAATGGTCATTACATCACAAATTTCTAAGTGTTTTCGTAAAACTATTGAAACGTAAAATATTGAATAAGCTGACTTTAATTCCTCAATTCACCAGCAGCGTTATCCTAATGAATTAACCGTCCACAACAAACATTTTAAATAAATCACATCGATATAGGTTTATCTCGCCTCGTTAAAAAATATCTTCATCCATATATAGATTTGCATGCAGAAGGATTCTTAAAGAAGAACTAATCGGCGGCCAATACATTAAGAATTTAATCACGGTTAATACGAAATTAATGAAGCGGGCAATCGTTAAAAAAAACTCTTGCTATGACTTTACTTTCTGCCGGTTATAGCGTGACCCTTAACGCTCTTAAAATCGTTACTATGTCTCAAAGATCTCTGCACTCTTGAGCGCTGAATTTTAGCGAACGATCCTATACGCAAAGATATTTCGCTTGGAATTCCCTCGTGAACGAATACAATTTTCCGAAGAAAGTATCACAAGTGTAAACTACGTAAATTACAGAAATAAAAATCAATAACGGATTATATTCTTGGCTAAATAATAAAAACAAGCAAATATTCAGATTTACAATAATATTGATTAAGAGTAACAAAATAGATTGTCATTACAAATCACGTTTGCTTTAACTAGCAATCGTTGGCAAGTGTAGAAATCAATGTCATTCGGCACCACTGGTCATAGTGGATGCAACGCTAGAAATTCTCTCTGGCACACTTTCTCTACGTACTCTTAATGTATGTATATATATATGTATATATACATATATGTACTATATGTTTATATTCACGTGACCATATCGGTATAATTTAACATATGGAACACGGCTGCATTCCATTGACGGCAGACAACCGCGAATAGACTCTACCGGACAACGGAAGGCTTGAATTAGGTGCATGACAAATCGCTGTGCATGGATAATTTATCTGTTAACATAACGTTGTCTGCCACTGCTGAACATGGCGAAACAACCTGTCTAATTATAATTTACGAAAAGGATATATGATATCATACGCGAGAGCGTCTAAATGACGAAAATTATGAAGATACAAAATTTACATATTGATGCGTTATAATTATGTTGTTAAGATAATATAATTAAAGGGCAGGAGCAAACATGTAAAAACTGATATTTACTTCATATTACTCGATAGAAGCTTAATTTTTTAAATATTCTAACAGCTTTTCGTTTAATTTACGTTCAATAAATAGAAACTAAAATTACGTATTATTCTCCACTGTGATGTAACGTAATCAATTTTCATTTTTAATTGACGGTAATATGCAAAAGAAATGGCAGGTTTTGAATGTTTACTCCGTAGATATAGATCACTTACTCAGACCAGATACGACGAATGTTGAAGTGATGAAACTGTAGAAAAACAATTTCATCTGGATGACCAATGAATGTGTACAGAAGACAATCGATATTCGGTGGGTATCGTTTCGGATAATCGGGAGATGTAAAAGTGCCACCTTGAGGTCTGTCCGAGCTGCTGTATACAACACATGAACAACCTGTAAAAAAAAAGAAGTATCATACAGACATTGCACATAACAAATGTAAAAGTTTAGAAAAATAACTCAAGGCATAGAAAAACGAAGTAATGGAAAATGTCGGCAATATCGAATCGTATCTAATCAACACTGCAAGCTTCGTCAGACGTGACGTGTCTCGTCCCGAACGATTTTAATGTAGAGATATCGGGCATTGTGTCGATAATGAAATTCACCATCTGACATTGCTTCCAGGATGAGGGGCGCAAGCATGCAAGAGAAAAGTTTTCTTATTTCCAAAATGAAGTCGTCGGTCCGCGCATCGATTTAGCGTCCTCGCTTTCGTGCTACCAGCCGCGTCGAATGCCAAACTCAAAGAATTAAATTAAAGTTTGACTTTTCGGGAAGGAAAACTCCACGAAGAAGCACATAATAATTCACGCGGTAAATGTCACTCTCGACAACGAGTCAATCGCGTCAGTTAAAAATGAACGAGTTTAAATAAATGCTTATTAGCGATGGTAATGCAGCCATTTTACGAAAAGATTCGCTTTGCGTACGTACGTGATCCGCATCGACGCGATATAGAGACGAGATATTACGAGACATAAATTTACCCCAAACGTATCCGGCGGATCAGACGGCGAATGATTAAGCAAGCCGATAATTTATAGAGGAGTCGTTGCAAAGACCAGCCGACGTGGCTCCTATTATCCGAGAAGCCGTGACTCGCACAACTGGGAATTGCGAAAATTTAATTTCCTGTTTTTCAATTAACTTTTACGTTAGTCGGACACAGCGGGTCTTCTCGGCGCGGCGAGCGGACACACGGGAGAATGCAAAGACCCGTCGTATCTATGGTTAAATAATGGCATGACACTTGAGTTATACCGCCGGTACAAAAGCCCGAACATTCTCGACCAGTTTTATGCTTTGGGGACCCCATTGTATCCCGTAACTCGGCGTAATGCGGAGGGAGTGATTCTTTTTTTTTTTTATTCCGCAGAGGTATGTGTACCGAGCTGTGTAATATACCGGTTTATTGTGCGCCCATTGTTGTAGAAAATAAAGCGATTCAGGGTGTAGAACCGACTGTGTGGGTAAGTTGAAATTCGACCTGCAGTGCAAATGCTATGAGACTCTCAGCGCTCATAAAGCGAGACATTTCGCAATCTTCTCAAAGAAAAAATAATGCCAAAGTCCTTTGAAAATTACGTATCTTCTGCATTATAAATTTTAATTCACATAAAACAATAAGAAAAATTCGACTATGTTTTCTATTACGAGAAGGGAGAAATGCGAATGCGGTGTTATATGTTCGAATGTGATAAAATTAATTTTAATATAATATATAAAATATAGTAAAATAATATACAAATGTTTTATAATATCTTTTACAGACAATATAATCTATATGGCAGAACGGAAGATCGCGCTAATGGGGAGAGAAATGTGAATCGTTATAGTACCACGTTAATGCGAATACAATCATTTATCCAAGATAATATCGCCATCGCTATACCCTCACGATTCGTCTCTGTCGGTGCACTAGTGCTTTGCAATGATTATTCTGGCTGAAACGATCCATTAGCGAGCATTCGTTCGGCACAGCAAGACTAATGCAAACAAAGCAATTTATAAGGATAGTGACGCAATTAATCAGTCTTTCGAAAAAGCGAGAGAAACACGAAAAGAAAGAAGCGGTGCGCCAACGAAAGAACATATCGCGTTTCGCGCGCAACGAATTAATAGCTCCACGAGCCACAAGTTGGAAGGGTCTTTAGTAAATTAGCAAAAACAATGTCTTCTTTTCTGTGTCCCTTTCTCCCCATACCTCTATCTATCTCTACTTAACTATAGCAAGCGTTTTCAGTTTTTCAGTCTTTCCATCACCCTACTGCTTTGCCTTTTACTGCCTTTCACTGCCTTCTCACTTTATTTTTCGTCAGCTTGCTTTCGTCGTCGTTTCGTCGCCACGTCGTATATAGGTTTCTACATCCTTTGGGTGGAAAGACACCCAGCGACCTGTCGCGTGAAACGTACCAATGATACTTGAACTTATTTGTCTCGTTTCATAAGATACGCTGTGACATTTGCAATTTTCTAGTGTCTAGTATCGCGATGCTATTCATTTCACTCTTGTACCACCTATGTACATAAATCCTTTAATATATAAATGTTCATGTATATAGACAAAAAGTTTCGTTATATCTCCATTTCCTATAATTAATCAAATATTTTAAATTAAAATTCTCACGTTATAGATACTAAATTAATTGTATTTAAATAATTAGAAATTAATTACAAATAATTAAAGAGAAAAAACCGAAACGGATCACCGAGGCTAAATTAAAGCCTAAATTAAAAGGTAACAATCACTAGTGTCATGTTGATTAACGCCGCATTGTAGGGTAAAAAGTAGAATGTCAGAGGCGTAAAAATGCTGGCACAGCTACTTCCTCATGACGGAACTGTCCGAGAAACCTAGAGAATATTTTAAATGGCGGCAGAACTAATTCTCCTCTCGCATCACACATGTACGTTAACGTATGTACGATACATGCTGAGAATAGCATGTACAATGTTAAAAGCGACTACGGTCTCTTGGCTGCTGAAGTGGGGCGCCAGGCCGCTCTAAAACACTCGGAGACATCATTGTTCAGTCACGTTCGCCGGCATTGACTCAAGCATCCTCAAGTTGCACTCTATTTATAACGTACTTTGCGATAGTTACAGAAGAAAGAGCAATAGGCTTTTCCATGAACGAGGAAAAACACGCATACGATTAACAACGGACTCGCAAGTGTACCCGTGTCACGACACTAATTAACATGCGGCGATTGTTTGTACGCAGACATGCACAACCTGCACGAATATCGATCATTCATAACATATAAGGTCTATAAAATTAATCGCTTTCGAACATTAAGCGGCGTAAAGAACTTGTATTTTACATGAGAATAAAAATGACATAATTCACGACAAAAAAGACAAAATGGAAGAGATTATATTACAATGAAGAATATTACTTTCGTCTAGTGTTATGTATATTAATATCAACAGCATACGTATACATATATGAGAATTTGTACTCTTTTCAAATGTCATTATTCAATGCTTTTATTCTTTTCCCAAGATATACAAATCACATTTATAGAAGATAGATACATTAAGTCCTTTTAAATTGTCATTATTTATCAATGCCTAATGTGATCTTTTTCTCGCATGACAGAACGCATTCCCTCAAGCATTATAGTGTGCTGTGAGAACTCCGACAGGTGATCCGTAAGCTGTGACGCGCGAAGGGACGTCTTCCCACGACTCTTCGGCTGCCTATACTATTATACGACAGTCACACGAACATCAAAGACATAAGATCAGGATGCCACACTAAGAAGCAATGATATTATTGCCGCACCGGAAACAGTAGAAATCACTTAGCACTCAATTCCAGCCGCAAGTTGACTTTTCTGAATTCGGACTGATGCCGCAAGCTGTTGGCAAGATCGAAACTTGGAAGTTTCCACAAAAGCGAGAGAAACTCTGCATCGCGCCTCATCCATTGCTATTTCATACATATATTTATATGTATTATAAATATGTACAGGGTGTCCGAAGCAAGTGCAACTGTTATATTGACCGCGAGTCTGAGAAAAAACGAGTACTAACTCTAAGAAAATATATATATTCTTTTTAATGTTGAAATACCAATAATCCAATAGTTCTGGTTATAGGCGAGAAATTAAAAATTAAAGTAGATTGAAGCTTAAAGTAAACTTGACCTAAGACTTTAACAGAATTTTAATTTAAAGTTTAGCTACTGAAATATATATCAAAAGTTAAGAAGTTGTGAGAAAGTATATGGCAAATCAAATTTTCTCCGTAGAACATTCTACTTCAAAATAATAAAAGAAATCGTAACTAACAATAAGTAAAATTGCGGTATACTTGACACCTATATATATTCACACAATTCTAGAATACACATCTATAGGTATATATGAATAGACCATCTACATTCTATATGTATATAAACATACTTGTCTATATATATAGAATGTAGATAAATCTATTTATATACAGGTGGAATCTATAGAATTCTTTATCTATCTCAGATAGATAAGGATCCATCGCAATGCAGCAGGCAATGCGATGCATCTAGATATCTGATGCTGAAAGCACGACTACCACTACACTTAGATCACGCGATTACTTGGTGGACACAGAAAGGCTTCTGCTAAAAGCTGCCGGATAAAGAAGCAAAAAAAAAGTGAAAAAACCGAGAAACGAGAAGACATAAAAGAGGAAGGAGAGGGAGGAAAGCGCACTGCGCGTTAAAGAATAGCGTTTCCTACGGAACTTTGGTGTATCCTGACTATTTCCGGTTAAAAATGTCACCTCAAAGCACAATAGCTTCACACTCAATTATCTTGAAAATGGATCATTTTCAAAAGGAATAAAATCCTTGGAAGATCGAATCTTTCGACGCATCGTCTGTTTGCACAAATTACTATTGACTTTCCCTTATACATATAATTTTACGTGTCAAATTAATCTCTATACTTATACTTAACTTTTCGTTTCCATGAGAATTTAGTTGTCATAAAATCATAAGTTTCGTCGATGTCGTAACATATTGTATATCGTCACCATAATGGCAATGGATTGGAAAGATGTCTTTTTTTACACTAGATAAAATATGTCGTAGGAAGTATTGATTTTAAAGGAGCTACGGCTACTATTCCTTTGAGAGCCGATGTCACGAAGTAGACAAAGTTAAGAGAGGACGAAATAAATTGATAATATCTTTAACCGAGGCCGGTAGCTATCAAATGCCATTTTACGAGATCGTCCTATACTTCAAGTCATTCACGTGACTGTAAAATGTGCTTATATATGTTATCCTTGGATATTTAACCTTCTGGGATAGAAAACAACTTCAATATTCACGAATTGTACCGTTTTTGATTAGACAATTTCTACATAGCATCCACGCTTTCCAATAACTTTTATGAAATCTT